CATCATGTCAATATGGACCAAACTCCCTGAGGAATGCTTCCAGCACCTTGTTGAATCTATGCCACGAAGAATTGAGGCAGTCCTGAAGGTAAAAGGGGGTCCAACCCGTTACTAGCATGGGGTACCTAATAAAGTGGCCGTGAGTGTATATATATTTATATATTTATTTTTTATTTTTGGTCTCCTAGATTACTTAATTGTTTTGTTTTTCCTCTTTTATTTGTTTTATTTTATTTATTTCTTTGTTTTGTGTATTTTGTCTGTCATGTTAGGCCTGAATGTCTGTATTTGTTAAGCACTATCTGTGCTTTGTTTGCCGTTGCTGCAGTGGCTTTTGCTTTGCAAGAAAAAGTTTAATAAAAACAAAGTTGAAAACAATAATGGTGCTCATAATCTGGAAAATAAATGAACAAAATAAATAAAGTTTTTCAGTGATAACTCAAAAAAAAAGAAATAGCGGCTGCTGCGGCTAAGTCAGTTAGCGCCTCTAAGCCAAATGTAATAATAAGGAATGAAAGAACAAGGTCGAGTGTGTTTAAGAGGGCAAAAAAATATTTGAATGAAAGCTGGATGAGAGCTGAGAATCCAGTCTGAAGGTTAGTGTTCGATGAAGAGGAGCTAAAGCTGCAGAGCTGATGGACGCTGAATGATCGCATTAATCTCTACGTTCTGATGCAAACATTATAAATAGATGGACTGATCGATCGATCGATCGATGCTTCCAGTTTATTAGAAGGTGTGTGGCTGCTTTTCCACCACGCTGAGCTATGGCCTTACCGACGCACTGCTGGACAATGGACTCTATTTAGTAGTTGCCTCACTTGTCCCTGTGTGGCCGTCTGATTGTACCACAATACTGCCAGCAGATGGCGCCACATCTGCTCATCACATCTGATGCTATCTAAGCACCATCAGGACGGACTCTGGGTGTTTTTAACCTCCCTGAAAGATCCACAGCCACAGGTTCAAATCCATATTTGTTTGCTTTTTTTTAGTTTTAAAAACTCCTTGAAACTGTTTTCTTCTGCAGGAGTTGCAGAGCAGGAAATGTGAGGGAAGCTTCTCCACAGAACAGAGTTCAAACCATCCTGAACACATCAACATACGAGCCAATCAGCAGGAAGACGACAGAGCAGCTCCTTCTACAGATATTTGTTTTTTTCTAATGGAAGATCTAGAAGATTTGTGCTGCAAAGCATGTCCTCCTGCAGCGCTCGCATGTTGAAAAAAGGAGCTCAGAGAGAAGCACCAGCCAAGAGGAGAAACCAGAGCAGAGGAGGAGCCAGGAGAAGACAGACGGCGTGAGTCCTACCTAACAGCTGGTCTGAGATCAGCCGTGGTGTGAGCGGAGCGATCGACACTGATTATCTTTGCTCCTCTTCTTCACGTCACAGACAGGAAACAGCAGAAGCAGGTTAGAGGGAGTCACTCGCCGCCTCCAGCAGGAGGCGCTCTGGGCTCACTCTGTAAACAGTCGAGCTGGAGGAAGTTCTCAGGAAAGGATCCGCTTTCAGTTTGGGTCCAATCAGATTCTAGAAATCAGCCGGTAACAAACTCCATCTGGTTCTGGATGTGTTCACGATCTGAGCTCCAGGTCTGGATCTGATCCGGGCTCCTTCACATCTGATGGCTCCTTCTCTTAAGGTTCTGTTTAACCCGTTTTCTACTCGGATCAGGAAGTAAAAATGGGATTCGGAATCTTTAAATGTTGCTGATTTTTCATTTATTTTGTTCTGGTTTCAGTTAAACGGTTTTGGATCAGTCGGACCTTTCAAAGTTCTATTGGAGTATTCCAGTGGAATTCAGCTTCTTCTGATCCAGAACCTGACAAATCCCTGGTACCGCATAAATTCTAGACTCCAAACAGAACCCTGACTCTGAACAGAACCCCAAAAAGGTTCCTGGGTCCGACCAGAACCGTGACTCCACACAGAACCCTGACTCTGAACAGAACCCTGACTCTGAACAGAACTCTGACTCCAAACAGAACTCTGACTCCAAACAGAACCCTGACTCTGAACAGAACCCCAAAAAGGTTCCTGGGTCTGACCAGAACCGTGACTCCACACAGAACCCTGACTCTGAACAGAACCCTGACTCTGAACAGAACTCTGACTCTGAACAGAACCCCAAAGAGGTTCCTGGGTCTGACCAGAACCGTGACTCCACAATGAAGACTGACCCTGAACAGAACCCTGTCAGATCCGGTCCTTCTTTTGGTTTCCAGACAGAAGGTTCTGATTCTGATCTCTGGAAGATGAAAACATCTGAACCAAGGGAAGAACCCGAGTGGTGTGGACCACCTAGAGCAGAGAACCAACTGGACCCCATTTCCTCAGATCTATTAGTTCTGGGCCATCTGCTAACAGGACTGGACCCAAATGAGAAAAAGAAAAACACAGAAGTTCTGATCCGGAGCGGTTCAGCAGGTTAGATTAACTTCTGGAGAAAAATGGCGGCAGAAATGGACAAGAACACGAGACCTGAAAACTTCCTCCATCACAGCTGTCCACAGAGAGGGGGGTGAGGGGGGGTTACCTTTGCAGAAGGGTCCTGGGCGAGGTTTGGGTCAGAACCTCTGACACAGAACTGTCGCTGGAGATCCTCTTCCTCTGCCCGTCCCTCGCCCTGAAAAACACACAGCGTTACTCCTCATCCTCACTCTGCCTCTTCTTTAAGGAGCCATCGATCAGAGCACGGCTGGGACAAATGAGTGTCTCCATGGTAACCACACTGCTGATACCTGCCTTCAATGACCCGGCCCAAGCTGACCCCCCCCCCCAACGTCCCATTATCTAAACCAATCAGCTGCTGCAGCACCAACTGTCTCCAGCAGAGGGCGCCCTGTTCACTCTGATGGAATAGCTGCTTTCCAACAGAACTTCTCCTGTTTCAGGGATTTCAACAGGCGAATCGGCCAAACGGAGAGAAACTCACCCGGGTGAGGTGGGTGAGGAGGGGGAGCAGGGGAAGGAGAACTGGTCTGGTAAACTGGGGGAGGTGCCGACTGTCTCCTTCTCCACCAGCTCCGGGTCCAGGATGTAGAGCTCCTCCTGGGAGATCTCCGTCACGTAGTTCAGATGCTCCTGGGAGCAGAAGGTCCAGCATCAAAAATCAAACCAGTCAAAGTGAATAAAAATGTTTTCATATCAAGTTTTTAGCTAATCGAAGAAACTTTGAACAGAATTACCTTAAAATTTTAGCTTCTGATTGGATCAGATTTCTATAGAACCGCTCTTCGGTTCTGATCCAGATTGTTTTTGTTTTTTTTAATGTTTTCTCAACTATCAGCTTTTACTAAAATGTATGAAATGATTTTTCAGGTAAATCTTCATCTCCTGCTGCGTATCGATGCTCCTCAGTGCTGCTGTTCTAATAAACTCTCCTCTGTGACCTCAGAGGTTCTGATCCGCCCCTGAATAGGTCATGTGACCCAGAGTGCCGCGTTCCATCAGCCTGAGCTCCCCTTAAACACCAGAGCTAACCAGGCTAACAGCTGTTAGCTCTGACCCTCAGCTGATCAGACGTGTGTCTGGTTCTCTGATGGAGGATTTAATCTAGAGGCTGAATGTTTCCTCATCTTTACCAGGAACTCCAGGATTCCAGACCTGCTGCTTCAATCTGGTCTGCTGTCAGATTCCTGTTGCTTCCAGGGGTGCTACATCTGGAAGTTATAGATCTACAGACCTTAGAGGCTGAGTTTAAGCTCTTAGCTCATAGAGATCATAGAGTTTTATCTGCTGTAATTCATTCCCCCCACTTCACTAATTTAAAGAGATTTTGCAATAAAACCTGCAGTTTTTTCCAGCAGGGTTTCCTGCAACCGATACGTAGATGCCTTGTTCAGCGCCGGTTCACATGTCGCCGTCACCGCCATATTGTATGTGGCACAAAGACGTTAACGTTTGTTGTTGTGAACGTCGATGAGCTGTGCAAGACCATTGTTTTATAAGGTTTTTAGCTTGCATACAGTACTGACTGTTTCTAGATATAGATGTGCATATATAGGTTTTGAAAAACTATAAA